TGCGTCATTTTTCATGTTTGGGTAGCGTCTGAGAAGGGATGTGTATTAGTCTCATTGCTGCGTAACAAATTGACCACACGGTTCATGGATTAAAGCCATACGAATGTATTGTCGAACCGTTGTGATCACAGCCCTCACATAGGTCTCCCTGGGCTTCCGTGGGCTGCAAGGTGTTGGCTAAAAGGGAATGTTCTAGAAGAGAATCCATTCCTTCACCTCTTTTGGCTTCTTGAGGCCACCCACATTTCTTGCCTCAGTGGTCTCCTTTCTTTCTTTCTTTTTTTTTTTGAGACAGAATCTCCCTCTGTCGCCCTGGCTAGAGTGCCTTGGCGTCAGCCTCGCTCACAGCAACCTCCAACTCCTGGCCTCAAGCCATCCTCCTGCCTCAGCCTCCTCCGAGTAGCTGGGACTACAGGCATGCGCCACCGATGCCGGCTAATTTTCTATATATATTAGTTGGCCAATTAATTTCTTTTCTATCTATAGTAGGAGCGGGGGGGGTGGTCTCGCTCTTTCTCAGGCTGGTTTCGGACTCGCTGACCTCGAGCGATCCTCGTGCTCGCCCTCCCGAGGCGCTGGGACGACAGGCGTGAGCCGCCGCCGCCCGCCTCGGTGGTCTCCTTCCTTCATCTTCCAAGTCAGAACCCGTGACATCTCTTTGGCCATCCTTCCGTGTGTCTGAGTCTGAACCCAGGCTGGGAGAGCTCTCCAACTCTTCTAAGGACCTGATGTGATTAGGGTTGGACCTCCAAGAGATGATCCAGGGGACAACTCCCAATCCCAAAACCTTCGCTTTAATCGGATCCTGCAAAACATCCCTTTTGTGGCGTTAGATTCTGTTACTCACAGCATCAGGGAATAATTGAGCGGGTAGGCATTTTGTGGGGGGCGTTTGTTCTGCTTACAGCAGGGTTGGAACAGTCGAGTTAATAAATTTCAGCACAACGCTCACCGCAACCCAACTTAAGATCGTCCAGGTTCATAGAAAACCTTCTTTTAAAGCAGGTCTGCCTGCTAATTCTTGGAGCTACGATCGTTTATATTCACGATCATTCTTGAAATGATGCAGTCCTTTTAAAATCCATAAATGCCTTTATCATTCTACTTAGCGTATGTTAAGACAGACAATGATAAACACAAAACCTTCTGAGGCAGGCGTCCTCAACACTAGCGCCCCGGGCACACGCGGGTTGTTTGACCGTTTGTTGTTTTTTTACTTCAAAATAAGATATGTGTGCGTGTGCGTAGAATTTGTTCACGTTTTTTTTTTTTTTTTTTTTTTTTTTTTTTTTTTAACTATAGTCCGGCCCTCCAAAGGTCTTGAGACAGTGAACTCGCCCCTGTTTAAAAAGTTCTAGGACCCCTCTCTAAGTGCCGCAGATCATTTTCCAACCGGTCTGAAAGTCACCGCAGGGAAAACCCACTCCTTGGGATCAGATTGGAGGCTGTATTTTGAGTTCCAAGGTAATCAGCCCTCTAGGCAGATTCCCGTAGGCTTTTGGAGGATGGACGCTATTGTTTTATTCGTTTAATAAGAAGATGAGGGCGGCGGCGTGGCTCACGCCTGTCATCCCAGCACTCTGGGAGGCCGAGGGCGGGAGGATCGCTCGAGGTCAGGAGTTCCAGGCCAGCCCTGAGCAAGAGCGACGACCCCGGTCTCTACTATAAATAGGAAGAGAAATTAATTGGCCAACTAAAAAATACTATATGAAAAAAAATGAGCCGGCGCCGCCCGGTGGCGCATCGCCTGTAGTCCCAAGCTCCTCGGGAGGAGGCTGAGGCAGAGGATCGCTTGGCCGCAGGAGTCTGAGTTGCTGTGAGCGAGGCTGACGCCATGGCACTCACCCTAGCCTGGGCAAAACAAAGTGAGACTCTGTCTTAAAAAAAAAAATAGATAAATAAATAAATAAGACAAATATAAAATGATAGTCCATGATGATTATTATTTTTTTTCTTTTTTACAAATTTTTTCTTTAATATATATATATATTTTTAAACTTCCATTTGGTGAACAATTTTTCTCTTTATTACAAGCACATCACATAGAACTTTTATGTTGTGCAGATCACTGTCCTGTTTTCTTAGAACTCTCTTTTAACCCTTTCACCTCCAGTCACTGATTTGGGGATTCTTTCTGATCTGAGGCCGGGCTCAAATGCGTGGCCCCACAGCGTTTATTATTAATTGTGCCTCAGCTTTTGCATTCAAGGAGGCAACTTTTTTTTTTTTTTTTTTACAACCCTTTAACTCACAGCTGTTGGCCCAGGGGAGGAGGCGGAGAATTAACTGGGACAACAGGCGCGACAAGGAGAGCATCCTGTCCCCTTTGCAGAACTAATCAGTTTCCTGCCACCTCAATTTACGATCAGAGCGTTTCCTGTTGTAATCTTTATTATCTGGGATATGGCTGTTCTAAAGCGACCAGCTCTCTCCGGGAGTCTCGAATTAAAAAGCATAAAGGCGCCCCTAACTGGATTTGTGCTCCTTTGGTTTTTTTTTTAATTTAAACCTGGCAGAGGAGGGTGGGAGTGGGTCTAACTTCCTTGGTTACTTTGCAATTTCATATTTTGCATTGACCAGAGGGATCCAAGGATGTCAAAGCGTTTTTGGTTTCTAAAAAGACACATGCACAAAGCTCAAACGGGCTTCTTTGGGAGGTGTTTCTCGAATAGATGTGCTCGAATACGAGTTTCTTGAACATCATTTTGGATACTCTAGTGGGCATCCAGTCCTCTTAGCTTCACCACAACCCTCAAATCCTGCAGATCTCAAATCCTGGAGTCACCTGTCCACAAGGTATGAAGAGACCCTTTTAACGGTGTGATGTCAAGATGTCAGAAATCTTTCTATCCTCTGAAACATCCCGAGGGCTTATTCATTTTCCTGAATTTATCAATAGACGGGACCACCTTTCTTTTACACTTACTCAGAAATATAGATCAAAAGGCAGTGTTAGCAGACCGGGCGTGGTGGCTCACGCCTGTCATCCCAGCACTCTGGGAGGCCGGGGAGGGAGGATCGCTCCAGGTCAGGAGTTCGAGACCAGCCTGAGCAAGAGTGAGACCCCCCATCTCTACTAAAAAAAGTAGAAATAAATTAACTGGCCAACTAAGAGTATATAGAAAAAATGAGCTGGGCATGGTGGTGTGCAATGCCTATAGTCCCAGCTACTCAGGAGGAGGCTGAGGCAGGAGGATTGCTTGAGCCCAAGGAGTTGGAGGTTGCTGTGAGCGAGGCTGACGCCACGGCACTCACTGTAGCCCAGGCAACGGAGTAAGACTCTGTCTCAAAAAAAAAAAAAAAAAAAGGCAGTTAGCCCTGAGTGTGCATTTATGTAGCTATGTGTCACTGAATCATAACAAAAATTTTCTAAAGTAGGTTTTAAGGCAGGGAGAAGGTAGAGGCGAAATTCTGGATTCTTCAGTCCCCTGCAAATATTTATTGATTATCTAGTAGGTGTCAGAACCGTGCAGGTACAAAGGATACACAAATGTCTATGGTATGTTATGGAAATCCACATTTTTTAAATATGGAAACACAGAAATACGGGCAAATAAGTGTAAATGCAAGCTCATGAATGCACCAGGAACAATATGTGTGAGGGCCGGTAGGAATATACAAAAGAGGAAAGATTTGCTAGAGACTAAAGGGAACATTTTGGAGAAACCTGAGTTGATGCCCCAGAAGTGAGTTCTGAAGTGAGTTCTCAGTGGCGAAAAAGACGCTGGCCTTTGATGAGGCCATTTCAGATGAAAAGCACCGTGGGATTATGAGTTATTCTGACATGCTTTGGGGAGTGCAAGACTGAGACCCAGTGAGCCCGGGAAGAAATGGTGAAAGATACCGTGTTTCCCCCAAAATAAGACCCACACATGAAATAATCCCCAGCAGGATGTATAAGCACGTTCACAATAGAAGCCCTACCCCAAAAATCAGCCCTGGTGATGGGCGTGGCTATGAAAATCAGCCCTGGTGATGGGCGTGGCTATGAAAATCAGCCCTAGTGGTGGGCGTGGCTATGAAAATCAGCCCTAGTCCTGGGAAACGGGCGTCGCTATTAAAATCCAGCCTAGTGATGAGCCGGGCTAGAAAATCAGCCTAGGGAGGTGTGTGGCTATGGATTCAAATCAGCCCTAGTGATGGGCGCTGGCTATGAAAATCAGCCTAGTGGGGGGTGTGGCTATGAAAATCAGCCTAAGTGGCTGCGGCCTGGCCTATGAAATCAGCTAGTGAGGGGCGGCAATCCTGACATTTATAAAATACCTTAATATATATAAAAGCAAATAATTCACAAGAGTACCCATTATTTACATTTTCAAATCTCTACTGTCTGGCTCTAATAGAAACACCAATATCCATCCATTTCTATCTATTTCATTTATTTAACCCAATAGGTTGGTTTGAATAATGAAACAAAAACCAGCCTCACAAAAGCCATATACCCGCCTCTTCGGAAGAAGGAAGTAACAATTTATAATATTAGACTTTCTGAGATAACTGTGGATATTCTATACGACACCATTAAATATGATTGCTTCTTAACGTACTCACACATAACACCTGCATACCAT